TGTGATAGAAAAACTATAGTAGGATAGCCTTGATTAAGATATACCGTATGCAGAACAAAAAGAACAAAATGTACTATCAAACATCTAAAAATATATTTCTAAACAAAAAAAGATATTTCTGAAGTTTATCTCTCTCTCTCTCTCTCCTAACAGGAGAAGGGTAGAATTTAAAAGTGATGAAAAAGAAGGAGAATTTGTCTAAAGTTTATCTCACTAAACCAATTTGCAAGAGTTACATATTAATCACTAGGAGTTAGGCAAACATTATTCAAACCCGTCGATATTTAATTTTCTTCTTCACTTGTAATTCAGTACTCTAATTCAAGTTCTTGTTATAGATACATAAGGTCAAAAAGAGACAAAATCAAGGGGCGGGAGGGTCATGGATGCCCAAGTTTTTCAGAAGGTTAGTGATGTACAACCCAAACTGCAAAACTCTAATCGCAAAAGATTTTAAAGCGTGAATGATAAGAAAAAAAAAAGGGATATTAAACAGTGGATATATTTGTAAGTACTACGCTTTACATTAGAATACTAGATACATTTGAATTCTACATAACTTTCTAAAGATTTATGTCTGCATTAGTTCTTACGCTTGGGCGTTAGATATATTTGAACTCTACGTGTTCCTACTGAGTTATGTTTTAAGTTAGTTAATATCCAAAATCAAATTTCGAACTATTTATAGCTATTCTTTGATAAAGTTTTCCTGCCTCTGAAAATTGAAAAGGCTGGTGATAATTATGGTTCATCAATGTCAACTTTTTGGCCTATTTGAGGTTAAACACACAAAAGCAATATGTGCATCATGGATTTAAAAATTGTGAATACTCATGACTGGGAAAGTTCCATCTTTTTATAATACTATTGAAGATCAAATTTACTAATTATTGTATACAGATGCCTATTTTTTCTATCTATTCTTATCTCATTTCCTAACCATAAATGTTACAAGTACTTTAATTTGTTTGATCATTTTTGTTAAGAAATTATCGCACTCCATGTTTTATGGCCATTTATTTTTAGAATTCGGGCTGATTGATGAAAAAAAAAAGGAACAACAGAAAGAGACTGCAAACAAAAAGGAAATGAAAGTCTTCTTGTTTATTTTGTGTTAAGTGGCTAATTGTGCATATAATTGGTGAATATTTTCCCCTTTATTTTGCTAAAATATGGCGTTAATCGATATATTTCACTCATATTTGAATTTTGGTGTTGCTTTTAGGAATTGTTGGTGAGAATGAAGTAAAAGGTGCATTAAAAGTTGACTTTCCAGAAGACGTCTTGTTAAGCGTGCCCACGCTTTGTCAAACACGAAGTGGTGCTTCTAAAGGTCCATGTCCAGAAGAGCTTTCGTTATAAAGTGTGCTCACGCCTTATTTGACAAGGCAATCAAAAGTGCGCAGGACATGAGATCAATTTGTCAATTGATCAAGAAGCCGGTTGCATCCCATGGGCTGACACATTAGCCACGGATTGGAGATCTTGAGGGGCCATGATTCGATGTAATTATTTTCGGAATTCAATTAATAGGTCTTGGTTGGTTAGTTTAGTTTAAGTAGGAGTCTTAGAAGGAAAAGGGGAATCCCATCCTTATTAATAGGGGAGAAAACAGACGTGGGCTCTGATTCTTTCTCTAGCTCTCATTCTTTTTCCTCTCTTTCTCTACAATAAACCCTAGTATTCCTTGTAGCCGCGACTCGACCATGAGGAGCGGCTAATTTCTTTTCTAGTTGAAGGATAATTGAAGCTTTGGTTCGACAATTCTGTGAGATCTAATTTGATTTATTTGCTTCATCTATTTCTGAGTATTTATATATTCTCTGTCATCCATGTTTATGATTATTTTCTACAGTTAAATACCTGATCAATATTTAATTGTTGAAATAGTCTATTGCCATCTAAAATATCAAATCCGTAATTGTTTGATGGTTTTAGTATCTGTGGCGCGTGATGTAATTTGATCGTAAAAGAAACTTTCGAATCTATGTCACGGGAATATATAATCTAACTTAAATGAACCGAGCTTGTGTGTTTGTTAGTTAGAATTGGTAGCTTCTCTAATTATTAATGCTGTCAATAGGTTAAATCCTAAGAGCTTGTTTAGGGTTGGTTAATTGGCAAGAGAAATAGCCACAGAACGTGTTGTGGTTATCGAAACAGTAAGGCGAAGCAGGTTGTCAGAGCGTGTTGACGACCATAACCAGTTTATTCATGAATAAGTGATTTCACCTTTCCATCGATGATCAGTTAAATGAACCAAAGTGGAAATTAGACCTTCGACTAGAGTGTTGCCTTTTCTTGATTTAGTTTTATTTAATTTTGTGATACTGTTTTTATTTTTATTCAAGTGAGCTATTTGGTTAATTTCTCCTAATCCCCCATTTTTCACAAAGAAATAAATCACCCAGTTCCAGTGGATACGACCCTACTCACCGCTACACTCGAATTCATATTTTTAGAGTAGGAACTTTTATTTTTGCTAGTTTGACAAGCCAACATTTTGTTATAGAAAGGAAGAGAAAGTTTTGCTTTTTGAAGATAAAAAAGTGACAATTTACCAGCCTGAAAAGAATCCAAAAATGAAAGAAAAATATAACCCAAAGAGAGGCCATGAAATAAGTTTTAAAAAAAACTGAAATGAGGCTAAAATAAAGGATAGGCCCATGGCAAGTTCCAAAGCGGAAACCAGCAGCGAGCCCAAAAAGGCTATCACCAACCCGTTCCTATGCCCAACGATCAGAGTTTCACTAAAGTCAACTTTCAAGGATTTTTTCTTTTTCTTTTTTTTTTAAAAAAATATATGAAGACTCTTGATTTTTCTTCTTCCTTTGGTAAATACATCTTACTAAACTGTAGAAGCAGTACGAGTTTTCTTCTTCTTTCTTTTTGTTTTTCCCCTTTAATAAGTCGAAACATGGGATGCAAAGACAATAACGGATCTAATCACATGAAGCTTCATAAGATATACATTACATATGAATAATAAAACATAGAGGATGGAAGGCCTAATCTAGTGTCGTACTTATTATTTCAACAAGAATAATAATAATTTAGTTTGATAAAGATGTGCATTACATATGAATACATTAGTAAAATCATAAATAAACTATCTCTCTGAAAAAGAAATAAACCTATAATTTGCAACAAAAAAAAAAAAGAAAAAAGCGCCAATCTTCGTGGGACATAGTGTGCTAGGTTATGTTTATTTTCATCTTAGTCAATCCTCAACTCAAACTTGCCATGTTTATCTACATCTTCTCTACCAATCTTAATGAAGAATTAATTACTTTTAGTTAAGGTTTTTATTATAGACAAACAAGGTCAAAAATAGATAGAACTACGGGGTTCAAGGAGGGGCGATCACCCCCATGTTTTAAAAAATTAAATTTCTCCTGTGTTGGAAAATAGAAAAGGCCAATTGATGATTCTGGTCCCTCAAAGCCCCTTTATGAGGTTAAACAAACAAATGCAAGTGCCATTTGATAATTATTATTCCAACAATCAAGTTGATTTGTATATTCTGTTTTGAGGCTTTAAACTACTCCATTTCATAGAGATAGATCCATACCTAAACAGATTGGAGTCTTTTAGGTAGATCATTGGAGTATTCAAGAGCTGAGAAGAAGTAGGCCAATCCCGGAAGATTGGGCTAATCTGTTTTGGTTATGTGTTCATTTCTAAGTTTATGTTGCGTTTGATCTTGGACCACGAACATATATAGCTGGCAAATAGCAATCTTTCTTCTCCTTTTCTTTTCTTTTTTGGTTTCTTTTCTCTCTCCCATGTTTCTTTTGTTTTAACTAATGTTCAATCTTTCAAAAGTAACTTTTTGTCCGTGTATATATATATAGTCTAATGGCGACGAAGGAATACAACGCCACAATGATTTCTACGGGAAATCAATGCTAGTGGAATCGAACAGTGATGATCCAGTGAGCTATCATATTCTGGATCAAATTGCAGAATCGAAGCAATTGAAGAGCATGCTAGGCACTGGACTAATGCAGACATACTTCTCATTGATTCTTTCATGTGGTGGTAGCAACCTGAAGTGGCGCTTCTGTAAGTACATTTTGAATGTCCCAATAGATTCAACAGCTTCCAAGATTTCTTTTGGCTATTGATGCTGGTGCTTTTTTGATCAGGTGATAGAAATTCAGAAGAAGGTGCGGAAGAGGCTGATGGCTTTGCGAGCATGGTCAGATTGGTTGGACATCCATATCAACCCGACCAAAACAAAATTGCTTTTCATGAGTTAGTCTCGTGTTTATAAGATGCATAAAAAAGCAGTTTCTCCACGACTATTTTGCTGTTGCAGTAATCACAAGAAAATGTAGACAATGCAATTCTTTTTACTGTATTCCCTCCAACCTAGTGTTAAGAGTAGTTTTCTAAGAATTCAACCTTTTATGGAGATATATAATTATTATGTCTAAGTGATGTGGTATTAGATGAATTGAGATGTATAACCTTTGATTTAAATCATTCACTTGATAGATTGTGCATTGGGTAATATCAGTGGCGGAGCTAGGAATTAACTTTGGGGGGGGGGCGAGTCTATAGCAATGAAAGTAAAATATATTTACAAAAAAAATAACGTGAACACATATACTACAAGATTAGAAACAACCTTATATAGAATGAAAATTACTTATACGCTTCACATACACAAAAATATCATCATATTTACAAATCTATTTGACTGTTTGAGACATATGAAATTGTGCACGACGACTTTTAATTTTATCAAAGTCATCAATGATTGAATTTATATCAAAAGTTCTAGCAATTTCTTTCTCAATATACATTATCATAGAGTTAGCAAGAAAGTCTTCCTCCATCCTAGAACGCAAACAAGTCTTGATGATTTTCATAACAGAAAATGCACGCTCTGTTGTAGCTGTTGAAACAGGAAGAGTCAAAATAAGACGTATCAATCTATCAATAAGAGTATAGCACATTGAGTTTCTTGTCTTTGCTAACACTTGGCACAACTCCTAAAGTGATGACAAATTTTGAAGCTGAAAATTATAGGAAAACTCAATCTGGAAAAGCTCTAATTGAGTTCTTAAGTGTAACTTCTCTTGATCTGTGAAGTCAGCTGAATAAAACTTGTTTGCAAGTTGACAAATTTGTTCAATATTGAAAGCCTGGAAATTATCTTTGGGGTGCAATGTTGAACTAAGAATAAGCAACTCTATTACATCTTCCTTAAACCTATTCTTCATTTCAAGTATATGAGAATCAACCGTTGCCAAAAACACATCAATCCTGTAGTGATGCTCCATGGTAATTGGATCATTTTGTTTTCGAATTCTTCCTCGACCTGCTTTATAAATGACATACATATCAGGCATCTCTATATTTCGTGCATCACAAAATGTCTTCACATTGGTGAACAATTCATTCCATCCATTATTTCTATAACTTTGAAGTCGATCCTTTGTTACTGAAACCAATTTAAGGGCATTCAAAATATCTTGAGATTTGCATTGTAAAGCTTGAGAAAGTACTTGTGCAAATCCTAAAATGTCCCTGATCATATGCATAACAAGAACAAAATCAAAGGATGTCATGAAATCGTAAACTCTGTCAGCTTCACTTCTTTGAGTTGATGTATTTCCATAATTGATAACATCAATTAGGACAGAGCAAATGTCTTTATATTCTGTGAATAAGCTACAGATAGAACTAAAATGAGACCCCTATCTTGTAGTCCCTGGCTGTTTTAAGGTACCAATCTAATTCTGACCCCTACCAGTCTCAAGTTCATCAATAGCAATCAATTCAGCAATTCTAGCAGCTCTTGCAACTCTAAGTTGGTCTACACGTTTGCAAGAAGATGAATTAAATTTATAAGAAGAGATAAGTATGTAAAGAATTGTTCCACAGGAATTACCTCTTGAGATGTTGCTACCAATGTTAATTGCTGTTCATGAGCAAAATAGTGAATATAATATGCATGGGGGCACTCCTGAATAAATAATGCTTGCAGTCCATTCCATTCTCCATGCATGTTACTAGCTCCATCATATCCTTGGCCACGAATGTTTTGCACACTAAGATTATGGCGAGAAAGGACATCACATATCTCCTTCTTCAAAGTCAAGGAATTGGTTTCATGCACATGAATAATGTCAAAAAATCTCTCTCGAATATAGAATTGTGTGACAGCCCCACCTTCCCCTAAGGTGAACCAAAGGGGTTAGCGGACTGCCTGCCCAACTCTCGCCAGGACTACGGTACAGTTTACATCGTTCTATAACGTTCCGGAACTCACCATTGCGCGCAAACAAGTCAAAAACACAAAATAAAAAAAACGAAAATTTGCGCCGAAGATGAATAGTGCAGGCCACGTCAGAATCCGGCCGGAATCTGGCCGGATTTCCGGCCGGATTCTCGGCCGGATACAAGGCCGAGAGAAAACTTCAATTTTTTCAAAAGTCCCACGCAATCCGGCCAAGATTCCGGCCGGATTGTCTGGCCAGATACCGGCCAGTGAGCAACTGGCCGGATTTCCAATTTTTCTCAAGCAATCCGGCCTTCAATCCGGCCAGTTTCTGGCCGGATTCCTGGCCGGATTCAGTCCAGTGAGCTTCTGCCAAATTTTTTTCTTTTGCCGTTTGAAAGCCGAATCGTTCCGAAGTTCATCCAAACATCAATTTAACATATAAACATGGAAATCCAACATTGTCAAGCCAAAATGGCATACCAAAAGATCCATTTAGTTCATACATATATCACTAGCCAATTACACACCAAACATTGGTGGAAACAAAGCACTTAGGGTTTTCACCCTCAAGGAGCTAATCAAAATACATGTACATGAGCTCAACTTGTCACAACCTTTTCCAAAAGAATTCATTTGCCTGTAAGGAAAACAAATAACACGGAATGAGCTAAAGCCCAGTGGTACACTACTACATAAGCAACCAAAGGCACATAAGGATAAACTTTCATTTAAAGTGCACAAATAAGCAGTAAAGCAAAACGGTAAAAGGATACGGTCGTCTCTCAAGAGCCCAATTCCACGCTTGTCATCTTGACCCAATCTCATTGACCCTCCGTCAATTGTAAGAGTACCAAACCGTAGACCTCACTATACTTCCATTCCTTCCACCCAACATACCCCAACCGGGCCCGCACTCCAATTCAGTAGTTTTTGGTAATACTCGAGTTTACCGGAACCAAGGGTCTCATTACCACAAGGTTCCCCAGTACAGTCCCCATGGCAATTCAATCTTCACGACCAAGCCCTCGCCGGCTCGATCCAATTGACTACCAAACGGGGTTGAGCTCAGTAATACAATAAGGTCGTTGGACATCGTCCAAACAACACCAAATCAGTTTTCATAAAATGGAATTCACCAACCAATATATCAAGTTCAGTAATGCAGTAAAACGGTAGCCAATCAGTGACAATATCAAAAGAGGTGAGGGCGGTCAAGTACACCCTCACCTTAATCAATTTCAATATCCAAATAAGCCTTCAAGGCATCACTACACATAGCACAAAGCCACATTATAACAAGTAAGTGAGTAGTATACTCACCAAGCAAGAAAGTGGTGTTTCATACACCGTGGTCACCAAGACGTCGTGAGCTACCGTCACGTCCTAACACATGTAACACATTCAATGAGACTCGATTCCGAGCCATATAGCAATGCCAATCATAATCCTAATAGGGTTATACAACCATATACAAGCATGATAGCAAACCAGAAATTAAGAAAGGCTTTAATGTAGGCCTTGATAAGAAAACCGGTTTTGACGTCATAATGCGGTAATGGCACAACTCTCACTACAATTATCGGTTGGGGGTGTAAGACCCACCGTTTCGAAGCTATGAAACAGGGCTACAACAATGTAGAAGGCCACTCAGTCCAGATCCTAGCACAACTAGGTCAAATACGCCAAATACTAAACCAGCATTACCAAAACAGGTTTGCACAACCCACAAAACTGTAATGAACACAACTCAGGCTATACATGTCCAAATGCCGACATTCCAAAGGCATAAGTTAGCTAAGATATCCAGCTACATTTCATCAGAAGACACCAACTTCAAAATCCAAACCAAATCCAGTCAAAACAGGCAATTACTATCGCAGTTCGGACATTCTGTTCACCAAAACCAGCAACAGTAAAAACGGCATAACTATCTATATACTACTCCAAATTCCCTGAAATTTTGTAGACATATCAAACTCATCAATACCTACAACTTTCATGTTTTAAGCAAAGTCCAATTCGGCCTCTATCTATGATCTAAAATTTCGGACAGATTAGGGGTTCATGAACCCTAACTTCTCACATTTCATTCCAAATCCAAAATTGATTGCATTTCACAACAATTCACACCTACTAGAGCCAAAGCCCCTTATTACCAACCATCATACTAGTCCACAACATCAAAATCATATGAAACCAGAAAATTTCTCATAAATTGGAAAACTTCACCAAATCAAGCCAAACCAAGAAATAAATCATATAATCCAACACTTTAGCCACTTCTAAGCATAATATAACCATCATTAGGTGTAATAGGGGGGTTCAAGCATCACTTACCAAGTAACAAGAGAGAGAGAGATGATGGCCACCTTAGAGCTTCAAACAAACTTCACTAGAGCACTCACTATCACCAAAAGAAAGGATTTTATGGAATGAAATCAAACCTAAACTCTTGTTTGTGGAAGATTGAGTGATATGGAAGCTTGAAAGTTGGGAAAATTTCTTCTTCTTTGAGAGAGAGAGGGCCGGCCAACACAAGGAAGAAAATGGTGAATTTTGTGAAGTTTTGTGATATTTATTCCTTTGGTCAAAAAAGTCAAGAAAGTAAATAGTGTTTCTTAAAGTCCAACTAATGAGACGATGACACATGTCACCTTCTTAAATGCAATCCTATCTCTCCTTTTCTCTCTCACATCAATCATATCACACTCCCTACTTATCACTTAACACCTGATAAATTTTTCACAGTATCCGAAACTTAACCTTATTGGCCGAATTTTTCCGAACTTTTCGCACTAGTGGGTTCCACGTCCAATATATATTCTTAATTTTCTAAAAATTCACCAATACCAGAAAAATCATCTTAAAACTATAATTGCTCATAAAATCCACCAAGAAAATATTCCTAGGCCAGAAAATGCAGAAAACATGAAATTTAAGGGAAAAAAACCCTAGGAAAATATTAGGGTAAATCTGGGTTCTCACACTCTCCCCCCTTTAAAAGAATTTCGTCCTCGAAATTCTCACCTTAGTTCCCGAAAAGGTTTGGGTATTTCTTTCGCATTTCTTCTTCCATCTCCCAGGTGGCTTCCTCAATTCCGTGGTTTCTCCATAGCACCTTCACTAGCGGAATCCGCTTGTTTCTAAGCTCTTTGACTTTTCGATCGAGCACTTGGACCGGTTTCTCTTCATAGGCCAGCGATTCGTCCACTTCAATCTCCTCCGGTTGCAATACATGGGATGGGTCTGGATGATACTTCTTTAGCATCGAGATGTGAAATACATCATGGATTCGAGAGAGAATGGATGGCAGTTCCAATCGATACGCGACCGCTCCTACTCTTTGCAGGATCTTGTAGGATCCGACGTACCGCGGTTGAAGTTTCTTTCCTTTGCCCGTTGTAAGACTTCGTAAAGGTGTGATTTTGAGAAACACATGGTCTCCAACTTCAAATTCCAAATCTTTTCTTCGATTATCCGCATAGCTCTTTTGGCGACTTTGAGCGGTTTGGATCCGTTGCCTTATCAATTTGACCTTCTCTTGAGCCTCTTCCATCCATGGAATAGTTGCCGGATCTAAAGCTTTCCTTTCGCCAACTTCATCCCAGTAAATCGGCGAGCGGCATTTGCGTCCGTATAAGGCTTCATACGGAGCCATTTGAATCGACGAATGGAAGCTATTGTTGTACGCAAACTCTACCAAGGTCATGTGTTGACCCCAGTTGCCTCCAAAGTCCAGAATGCACGTTCGTAGCATGTCCTCGAGAGTTTGAATCGTCCGTTCTGACTGGCCATCCGTCTGAGGATGATAGGTCGTGCTCAAATTGAGTTTCGTCCCCAGGGTTTCTTGGAACTTCTGCCAAAATCGTGATACAAACCGTGGATCCCGATCGGAAACGATGCTCACAGGAACACCGTGTAGTCTTACAACCTCATCCATGTACAGTCGAGCCAACTTGTCCATTGAATACTTCATGTTTACCGGCAAGAAATGGGCCGACTTGGTTAACCGATCAACGATCACCCAAACGGCATCGTGTCCTCTTTGCGTCCTCGGTAAACCGGAAACGAAGTCCATGGTGATGTTTTCCCACTTCCACTCGGGTATCTCCAAGGGTTGTAACAGATCCGATGGTTTTTGATGCTCTGCCTTCACTTGCTGGCAAATAAGACATTTCTGTACGTATTGAGCAATTTCTTTCTTCATATTGTCCCACCAATAGGTTCCTTTTAGGTCTTGATACATCTTGCTGCTGCCCGGATGGATTGTATACTTGTACCGATGAGCTTCCTCCAGAATCTCCATTTTCATCGACTCCACTTTCGGTACCACTATTCGGTTCCGATACTTCAAAATACCCTCAGGACTCAAATTACAGTCCGTAGTTTCTCCCTTATCCACTTTCTCTTTCCATTTCTGTACCATCAAATCTTCTTTTTGTGCCTCTTTAATACGTTCCAGTAGAGTGGAGGTAACCCTAACATTGCCAAATATCACCTTATGGCTCCCTAGACAGGGTTTCCACTCGCACACGGATTCTAGCAAACCCCACTCCTTAATCATTAGCCCTGCTATTTGCACCTTACGAATTAAGGCATCTGCTACCACATTTGCCTTTCCCGGATGGTAATTGATTGTACAGTCATAATCTTCCAGAAATTCCATCCACCTTCGTTGCCTCATGTTGAGTTCCTTCTGGGAAAAGAGGTATCTAAAACTTTTGTGATCCGAAAACACTTCGAAAGTTACCCCGTATAGGTAATGTCTCCACTTTTTCAGAGCAAACACCACTGCGGCTAATTCTAGATCATGAGTCGGGTAATTCTGCTCGTGCAGCTTCAATTTTCTAGAGGCAAAAGCAATCACATTCCGGTTCTGCATCAAAACGCACCCCAGTCCTTCTCGCGACGCATCCGCATATACTACAAACCCGTCCACTCCATTTGGCAAGACCAGTACTGGAGCCATGGTCAATCTTTTCTTTAATTCCTGAAAACTTGTTTCGCATCGGCCGTTCCAGATAAACTGGCCATGCTTCTTTGTCAAGTCAGTTAAAGGTCTTGCTAGTTTGGAAAAATCTTTAATAAACCGTCGGTAGTACCCAGCTAGCCCTAGAAAGCTACGAATTTCTGTGGGGGTTTCTGGCCTCTTCCAATTCGTCACGGCCTCGACCTTCGCCGGGTCCACCGAAATATCTTCGTGGGAGATCACGTGCCCTAGAAATGCTACTCTCTCCAACCAGAACTCGCATTTACTAAACTTGGCATACAGCTGATGTTCCCTCAATGTCTGCAATACCATTCTCAAATGCTTCTCATGCTCCTCACGTGTCTTAGAGTAGACCAAAATGTCATCGATAAACACAACAACAAATCGGTCTAGATAGGGTTTGAAAACCCTATGCATTAGGTCCATGAAAGCGGCGGGAGCATTAGTCAGTCCAAAGGGCATAACGGCGAACTCGTAGTGCCCATATCTTGAATTAAAAGCAGTTTTCGGAATGT